CAGCTGACAGGCAGCAGGAGGCGCAAAGATGCACTGCGCAGCAGCAACCTGTGTAACTATAAAGTATAATATGGTCAAAACTTATATCCCGATATATTTCTTTACTTTGCTGGTACAATATAACTTTGATATGGAAATAAAAAAAATAAAAGCCTAAAAAAGACTGCCCAAAATGCCAACAACAGATGTCTTTACAAACATATAACGATCATTTTGACATGTTTATAAAACTCCTCCAATATAACATTTTAATAGTATCTTTAATGTAAAAAAAAAAAACTACCATAAACTATTGAAAAAACTGGAACATCAATGTAATCACAGACTCTAAACTATGTTGAAATATCAGAAATATCCAAGCTCCATTTTTTTTTTCATTTTTTCTTTTTGGAAGAGCCGTGAAATTACACAATACTCATTTTAAACATCATTTGAAACACTTAATCTTTCATTTGTGAGGTTATCTAAAAATAATCCTAACAATGCTTTACTACCTCCTCATATCTACAGCATACTTGAATAGTGATCAATCAATTTATTTCTTTAACATTTTTCCTCTCAGTGAAATGCATGATTAAGTGAACATATGAAAGATAAAAGCTCAGAGAAAAATAACAAACATGACCACCAAAAGCAATAAATTTTTTTCTTTTCTGTTTGGTTTCCAAGGTGATGAACATCCCTGCAGGTGAAATTAATTTGGTCTCTTCCTAATGTGAAATGGTTGTATATATTTCATTACTTCTAGCTAAGTTAAGAATTATTGCCGTTTCTATGGAGATGTTTATATTACAACGATATATATCCCTGTCTTTTAATAAGTAATGTATTAGTTGGAATTAATGTATTAGTCAAAACCAAACAGCTTTTCATTTATCAGAAAAAATATCCATGACAATATCTGTAAAAACAGAATCTTTATGCACAGATTAATAACCTTATTCTACTTTGAATGTTGCAACAGGTTTATATTTATTTATTATAATTATAAACTGGGGTATATATGCGGATTTATCAGCGATACAAAAACTTAGTGACTATTTGACTTTTTATTTTTTTCATTTACAGAAACTTTTGAAAAACTTCCTGGCAACCATTAGCTGCTCTAAATAAAAGTTTTTATATTTAAGCAAATATTTAGTTGTAAAGAAGCAGAACAACAAAAAAAATTTCTCAACTCTCAAAAAGGGTCCCTTTACATTCTAATTTTAAAAGCAGAGTTAGCCAGCCTTAACACGCTGAGAATTAATTAACTACATATAAGCTTATAGAGACCATTTGTTAATGAAAAAACTATCTTGAAAAGCTCCTCAAATATTGTGCTATAGCTTTAATTCCACGAAGGATTAGGTAGCAAGAGACTCATTAAAACTGCACAATTTCAGCTTTGAGTATAAGAACCTTTAGGATGTTTTTATATGGATGACTTTCAACAAAGTGCTATGTAGACTACATTTCTTCTATAAAAGAGTCAAAATCACTAAATGTTGCACACCTGTTATTTTAGTAACAAAACACTAAAAGGTGTTTTATTTCTCACAGTCCCAGAGTGTTTAAGGTTTTGTATGTTGTTCAGATTAGATGTGCACAAGTTTGGGTAACTAGCTGTGTACTGTTAGTAGTTTCCTGATCCATAAAGTTTAAGATGCATTTGCCTCACTGTAAAGAGCTTGTTCTCTTTCACCCATTTTGATGCAATGCTTAGAGAAACTGGCCCTACAGTATATTAACATGTCACATTAAAGGAAACAGGAAAAAAAAAAAAAGAAATTATTCTCTGCTCATTTACTTTTAAAAGAATATGTGAAACATTCTTTAACTTCAAAGGTAACGTAACATAAATTTACATAGCATTTGTTAGAATTGTTTGTCAAACTTATTGAGTGGATCAAAATAGAATATGAAAGAATGGAAATGTTTTATTGTGACTTTTATCAAGTTTATTACAAATAATCACATACAGTATGTGTTCATGTAAAAAGGTATAAAGAGACAAAAATTCTATGGAAGGTATAGTGGACAATCTATAGGGGTCCATGGGATCATCTCATCTAGTTCTACCAGATGCCCTGTGTTCATGAGGCACCATTGATCATGCTCCTTCTTGCTTTGCATGGACACTTGTCACGTTTATGCATCAAGTGAACTTCATTCATTCATTTAAGCTCTACTGCTCTGACTGTATACTGCACTTACTGTACACTTATAGTACAGAGCTGAGCATAAGGTCAGTGGAGTTCACACATGCTCGTTCACCTTCGCACACACACATTTAATAATCGTTCTTTCGGTTGAGTGGAAGAGCAGGCAGGATGGTTTTGTTCATGTGCAATTATTCAAAAGGTGACGAGTGTTTCCGGAAATAATCGTTCACTGTACCTTAGGCCTATCAAATATTTACACATTTGCAAGCTGGACAATCAGCTTTCAAACAGATGGTGGTTGCTGAGGGCTTAAACCAGAGCCCAAATAGACCCTGGGGTACAGACCCGCATAGGTTTTAACATTTTGGCTTTTGGCATAGACAGCATGCCTGTGTCTCTCCAACACAGACATTGGAGAGACCAAGCAGCCACTACACAGGCACATGGCGCAACATAGGAGGGCCAACTAGGAGGGCCAACCAGGAGGGCCAACTTCTCAGGACAGGACTCAGCTGTTCACCTACACCTGAAGGCTAAACATTCCCCAGAAGATTCACCTACCATCCACCCCTACCTGACTCACAATGCAATGAGACATGTGACTGAAACCACTCTGTTGAGGTAGTTAACGACTATTAACAACCCCCATGTGATCTCCTTGGCCAATCCAGTAGGAGGATCAAAGCCACATTTTGTCCCCCCTAAAGGCTGATTTATACACAGAAACCAGGTCGTCTGCCTGTGTGTTGCAGTGAACGCAGATATGCCCCCGCCCCTACCACAGACACTCTGCTGCACCTCTCCCAAATTGTAGGTGACCACAGACTGTGCCGCAGACACGATATCTCCTTTGGTCAAATCTACATCCGCTCTGCTCATGCTTATTTCCTGTTTGGTACCTTACTGGCTTGTTCTGTTTGTATTGTGGAAAATGACTCGTGAAGTTGGAACAACTAGAAGAGCGAGGTGCGCAAGAACGCTGGGACCCTTTTTCCAGTTGGATCCCTGCCCCTTTTCGCCCTCATGTCCCTCTGTTGTCGCACAAACTTGCCCCCACTTCCTCAGCACCTCGTCCATATCCAGACCCACAGCTAGTTCTTGATTGTCCCTCTTGGGTTGTGGCGTGGAATAGGATAGTGCAGACCACACTTCAATATTAATATCATTGCGACACACAGCTGCTGGAATATAATCAGCCCTTAACTCTTTGTTAGACCTACAGTATATAAATATCAGTACTCCCCACCAATAGTTAGAACTGAAAAAGCCTCTTGGATGAGAGGCGAACTTAACGTCCCGTTGCCTAGACTGAACTTTTTCAATCTTGACCATGACCTGGATGACTGAGAATCTTCACAGATACTTTAGTCTGCTAATGAGTTCTTCTAATTTCTGGACCATTTGACCTCATATTGATCCAGAATTTGTTTCAATGGTATACAATCCCACTCCTCAATCAACATGTATCTTCCCAAAGTCTTTTTTTCTGTTTTAGTTTCATACTAAAACACATCCATCCATCCAAATCCCAAATGGGGTCGCGAGGGGTGCTGGCTCCTATGTCCAGCTGCCTATGGCCGAGAGGCAGGGTACAACCTGGACAGGTCGCCAGTCCATCGCCGATACTAAAACACATTTTATCACACTTATCTTTCTGGAACACAGTGCAACATCTGTAGGTATCTTTTTAGTCAAAACACACTTGTGGCAGTCCACAAATGTCTTCCTGATATCTTACCTGTTTTTAAATGATCAAAAGTAGGGCTGTGCGATTTAGATGAAAAATGGATCACAAAATAAGTGGTCTGGATCATTATAGATTTAATTACTTATATATTCCACCTACTTTAAATAAGGGACAGGGGAAAGAAAAAAAAATTGAACTCTTTCCCAATTTAAATGTAACCTTTAACCTTTAGACAGAGGTCAGACCTGCCATCAACCTTCTTAACTTGGTCCTAAGAGGTTGAGAGGCTCAATCCTTTCCTCTGCCTATCCTCCACAATGCTGTGGGGTTCCTGATTAGAGTTTGCTCAAACACTAGATCTTTCTGTCTGTCATATTTTGTATTTATTGATCAAGTGTTTCATTCAAAATATATCATTGTTTTATTGCCCATCTCTAAAATAATATTGCTCATGCTTTGCACGTTCGGCAAATAGAACATATTCTACCTGAGCTAAAGTGAAGAAAGTTTAATCTAAATTGTTGTGAGGAAATGTATCTTTTTTCATAGATACACTGTTTTAATTGAACTTTCTGTGCAATACCACTCAAATCTCTTATTCTTGCAACAGTGCACAAAAATATTGCAGTTATTCTGCAGCTGCTAAGCTTCCTTCAGGGAGAAACATTTAATGGTTAAATGTATAGAGAACAATGTGAGGAATGTAAGGAGGTAAAAAAATAAAACGGTAAGAGCTAAGCATCTTGTAAAATATTTAAAAGTGGTAATAGGTAGAGAGTAAAACATTTAGGTGTTATACATTTTAGGGGTATTGATTACTTTACTTACTTTATGCATTTTTTTAAGACTCCCTTTAACCATTTGTTTTATGGACAGCAGGAAGCCAGATTTCTTCCTTAGACACAGCAGTGTTTTCATTGTAAAAGCTTTTACCTTACACATTAGATGTTTAATATTTCTTTCCTTTTTCTCCCATTAGCCGTTATTTCATTAGATGCCTTGTAAATTTGCCTTGGGGGGTGCTAATGATTCATGTTGAAATGTGTTAAAATGTACTTAGATAAACAGCCTTATTTCCTATTCACTACAGGTGCTCTTAATACCTTTAGATTCAGTATGTTCCTAATGAATAAATGCAACCTTTCTTTTTGTCTGGCTTTATCCTACAGCGATTGTTGTGGCTGTATTTGGAATCTGCTGGGCTCCTTTCCATATTGAGCGGCTTCTGTGGAGCTCAGTCAACCAGTGGACCGACATGATGCACAATGTTTATCAGTACGTCCACATCCTGTCTGGCATCTTCTTCTACCTAAGCTCTGCGGTAAACCCTATCATCTACAGCCTGCTGTCCACGCGATTTAGAGAATGCTTCCGGGAACTCGTCTGCTCCCACTCAGAGGGAAACACCTCTAGCAGAGACTCACCACCTTTCCCCAAGATTTTACTGGATGCCTCCATCTCAAGTTCGAGAACTCAGTATGAGATAAAGGACTCAACCTCTACCATCCCGTTGCTGTCTCACAGTGTGACTTTGAATATGGAAACTGCAGTCCTTCCATGTGTAGCTAAAGAGACCAGCTCTAAGACCTCTGTTCTCTGAGATTTGTTTTGGGACTGACCAGAAACATTTTAAAGTTGTGGTAAACATTTTGAGAAATGGATTTATTTGCTTGCTTGCAAACAGACTGAGACACAGCTTTGATAATAAAGTATCCCTTAGAGAGGGAGCAGATGTTTTCAAGTAGTGGCTGAGAAACTAACAGATGGACACTGAACTTACAGTATCCAAAGTGTTGCATGAAGTAAAGTTCTGTAATTTAGTGAAGCTCATAACAATAATACCCAGTTGCAAGGCAAAACCTGATGTGTTTGCATCTGTGTATGGTGTCCAGGGTAAAAAAAAAAATGCTGACATTTCATGTTCAAACTTCTGCATATTGAGCAGGAGAGAGCACGCTTAATCAATAAAGTAAATGGTTTAGATTTTTCCAAAAGGATGTTTTCAATGTGACTCAAATCCTATACATTCATTTTAGTGTGCAATTGAGCTATTTTTTTGTGAAACTTTAAATTAAAACAAATGTATATATGTGTTGAACTTTGGGAGGATATTGATTTAAGAATTGTTCCCATTAGATTTAATGTTTGTAACTAAGAGAACAAAAGAAAAAGTAAAGACTTTAAAGATAATCATCATTGCGTCTTTCAAGCTATTAGCACGAGCATTCATCTCATCTGTAACAGAGAACTATACTAAAAGGCAATGATAAAAAAAAAAAAAAAATGTTGGTGGTTTTTTACTATCAAATACCTGTGACCCTGGGGAAGACACTGAGCAAACTGAATCCAAAGAAGAGCTATAATCCTCATTTTCCTACTCGAAAGAAACACCGGATAGTTAATGATGCCATAAACCAACGCAGTTCAAAACATTTTAGTCAGAGCAAACAAGCTGTTATCCAGATAAATGAGATGTCACAGGATTAAACATAGCTGTCAGGTTCTCTCTGTTTCATCAGTCCCTCTTACTGTGTTTGCCAGGCAGAGGCTGAAATAGATGGAGAGACAGAAAAAAGAGCTGTAAATGTGCTGATGAATTCAGAGAAGTGGTCATGTTGAACAGGCGTGTATTAATTGGGCTGACCATGTCACTTTTTTTCTATTCTGCTGTGGGATAATAAAAAAAACATCAGCACAACTAACAAATGCTTGTTATTAAATAGAAAGAGGATAGTAAAAACCAGTCATATTAGTAATGCAAAGGTTTAAACTATTATAAATCTCTCTGCATTTTTGGTGTGCTTGTTGCAAATAAGGGTTAGTTACACATTTGTCTTAGCCTCTGCATCATAATGAGACCCTACCTCTATTGAGGGATTTAGGGTTAGGGGTCATGCAAGGACAGAGGCTTGGCTCTAAATAAAGCTCATTGTTAGCTTATGCTTCTTAGCCTACATAATAATTGTCTAAAAACAGTGACTATTGAAATCACAAGCAAGGTCTCCATCTTATAGAGAAGTAAAATAGAGTTTAAGGCTGCTTTATTTAAGTACTATATCTCTCTGTATATGAAGCTAGAACTTAACATTACACTGTGAACTGATACTTCCCATTTATTTAGGGGAATTTCTCATTCTTGTACAATTTGTTCCTTATCGGTGGTGTTCAACAATGTATTCCATTATAGTTCTAATAATGAATTTTGCAAAAATTGAGGAGTATTTTCAAAAGACAGCAAGACAGTGCAAGGGAGCTAATGCAGATAAAATGATGATGATACATTTGGATTACCGAACTACCATCAATGCATCTGAGTATTTCCTCCTAAGACAGAAAATTTTAGCCAGGGCTTTAGCTCCAATTTTAGTATTTGAGGTGAAGATTTCTAAGACATTTAAGGCAGGGGAACTACTGAACAACTTCTGAAGGCAAAAGCTTGAAAACTTAAAAAAAAAATTAAAGGTCTGTTCCAAACATTATCTGGGGATGAAAAATTAGGGAATAATTTCTTTGGGAAAAAAATAAAATAATGTAATAAAAATCTCCTATATTATGAACCTTCATTCTCTACAAAATCCCACTAAGTTGTATTAAGCAGTTGCCCCAGTGCTGTTTCAGCTGAAGTCCTCTATATCGCCATAAATTGTGTTGGGTTCCCTTCCTTAATGACTTTCTACATTATCTTTAAGCTGCCACACATTATTTTAAACTTTTGTCAAACAAAGAGGCCTTTCACTCATTTCAGTAAGAAAGGTGTAGGTGGTACTGTTAAAGACAAGATGTTATTCATACTGGTTAGTGCCTTCCTGTTTTAGTTTGTATCACACAAACCACTTGTTTTTACTTAAAGGTACAGTGGAGGATTTTAATTTTCCAGCTGGATCATCAAAATAAATGGTCCTCCTAATTGTCAATCATTCTGTCTTACGTGCTCATCCCCCTTTACACTTACCGGTGGTGAGTCTGACATAGCCGAAAAATTGCAAATCTTCTTTTGTAAAGTAAGCTTCTATGAGCGATGCAAACAGCAACTTTTAAACAGAGCGTGCACAAGGAGAAATTGGCTGGTGCATGCTCTCACATGTGTTTAATAGGTGTACCCTATTGGGAGCAGGTACAGGGTTGTGTGATGTGCATTTTTTTTTAAAGTGGAGAGGGCTGGTCTTTTCAAAAATTCATGAAAATCCTCCACTATACCTTCAGGCTTTGTGTAAAAACTGTCTGCTTTTAAATAACAATGGACAGGAAATATATATTTTTTCCATCTTTCAACATTTGAAGAGTTTGCAGGGTTATTCTTATTTGCTAAAATGTATTACTTCTTTTGTATAAAACAAATATATCTGTATTCTGTGCTTCTACCATAAATTTAGTTTTCATTAACGTTTCTTCACAATAATTCAGGCAAACCACATTGAAAAGCTGGTAAATGCAAACAGAAAGCCTTGGTGTGCAGAAACAATAACTTGTAACTGTATCCTTAATAGATTTTTTCTTTTTAAACCATTTTTTTTTTTTTTTTGCTGGTATCAAACTACATTGGATGATTAATAGAATATAAACCAGTGTTTGCATTTATCAACGGCATCTGGAATAATATGAAAAATAAGCTTTAGTCCCTGCCATCGGTTTCTCTCTGGGCTGCTGTTGAAACGTGGCAGCAATATGTGGCCAATCAGAGAGTGGAGACAGATAAAGGGATACAATTAGAGTATTATTAGCTTATAATAGCTGACATTTGCTGTTCCGAGAATTCTGGTTACCCAAGAAAAGTTATAAAAAGTAGTTTGAGCACAATGCTGCAAATGGATTTTTTCTCAATACCTTCAACTTGGATCAATTGTAAATTGCAATCAGAGAGTACTACATAGTGTTTTTTTTTTATTCTGAAAAACTTAGAAAACCTGACATGGTCTTTAATTAAATAAGATAATTCAATGAAAATGGAACATTTATATTCAACAGAGATTATATTTAATCTCAGGTTTAACTCGATATGCATCTGTTTCAAATTCATATTACTATCCATTTTGAAACACAGTGAACAGCTGAGCATCCAAGTGCAGCTTCTCTCTTCTTTTTTACGCTATTTATGCTAAGGTGTTTTCTGATGGTGTCTCAATAAATAAAATAAATCAAGCTCAGTATTCACGTTTATCACAAAATTGTTTTTGATGATTTAGAGCATATAAAAAAAATCTGTAAAAGTCTTTAGTTTGCCTTAAATTATTGTATTGGTCTGTATGTATATGGCTCAACGGTCTTAGATTTCTATGCCTGTGTGCTTAGTCTGTATGCTTTTTCTTTTTGAAAATCAAATGGGAAAACCTACTGTAATAGGAGCGACAACATACATGATCATTTCTGCTGTTATTTGAAATTCATTGTTAATGACAAGAAGAAAAGAAATCATCTGTGCTTTACTGGAATATGTAAATAATTAAGCTAATATACTGTGTGCGTGTCCACTAATGTCGTTATGCTTCTTGTTACTTGTCGCCAATCATCTATGTGATTTGAATGATTGGTAAACAAACTGTTTGCCACTTTGATTTAAAAAAAAACAAAAACTGATTGTTGCTATTGTTATTTTTGAAAGTTGCATAAATAAATTTAATTCAATTTAGCTGTTGTACTTTCTATACATAAGTATTTCTTAACTTTTGAATAGATCATTTTAACTTTAATTGTTGTCTAATAATTCAATTATAATACTAAGATTTATATTTATCTTCCTGATTGGACTATGTGGCTATTTCTTTTCTAAAATCTGACTAAATATACTTGGACAATTTGCTGAAAATAAATATTGAGGACTATAGTAAGAATTTTGTGCTGTAAATTCAGGATTTAAGTTCAGCTTCGTACTAGAACAGCTCAGAATATTGCATCAAACATTGTTTTTTATCTGACAAGCTATAAGTACAAGCTTTAATTTGATAGAAGAGTATAATGGGTTATATTTTGAATGAACAAGTCCAGGGCTGATAAAATATGAGACTTTGATATAGAAGCAGGCTCTATCTACTGAAGTAGTTTCACATTTATGGAAAATGTCACTCATAATGAGATGAGAATGTGAATTTGTTTCAGAAAGCCACTATTAGTTATGATCTGGGTCCCACAGGACAACTTTTCCAGGATTGTGGGAAAAATAGAATATGATAAGATCTGTAGACAAAACAAAACAAGAAGTAATTTCAGTGAACATAACTCTCTGGTGTAATGCTAATCGCTTTAATGTCAGCCTTGATTGTCCTGTTAACCATGGCAGGGTGGAGTTAAATCAGGGCCGCTCTTTTGAAGCTATTATTCACCAAAATTGAAGTGGCATCATTTCCAAAACAAGAAAAGAAAAGAACAGACATTGATTTAATTGGACAAATAGCAAAAAATAAATAAATTACCATTTGTAAACAAAAACAGTGAAACATGATTTAACAAAAATAAGAGAAATAAGTTTTAGAAGCAGCTAGAGGTGCTGTAGCACCAACATTGGCTAGTCTGGGAGTAATACACAGACACCCTGTTTCATCAATATTATTTTTTATTTCATTCCTCTTTTTTAACACGGCTACTGATGCCACATTAAAACCAGCTTTGTCTGTTCCTTGTTCAAAGATGTTTTTTTGGGGGGAAGCTCAACTCCATGCTTCATGTGCTGTTGATCTGTTTAACCAATAAATTCCGACTTTATTAACACTGAATTATACAATTATGGTATTAATAAAAAAAGAAAACACATAAAAAAGTAATTTATAATGATATTTGCTTCCATTACAGATAAAACTATGACCCAAATTTAAACCAACATCATAGAAAAAAAGCAGTGTTCTTAGCAATAGTCATGTAGTAAGGGTTCACTGGAAAATGCAAAGAATCATTAAAGCAATTATCACCCTGAAAAGATAGGATCAAAACATCAAATCATCAGAACTACTGTCTTCTTTGAATCAACTACTGTATGGAGTTTTTAAACAGCCACACTTCTGTGCTATGGTGAGCGTAGCCTTAACTTTAGCATTAAACAGATATTTGATCACCTGTTATTTTCTCTTATTTCTGCCCCTTTAATCCATATAGGATACAATGATAATGTGAAAAACATTGTTCTTTTCTAATGTTTTTGCAAATTTGCCGAAGTACATTCCTATGCATAACAGCTCTCATAAGGTGACAAAAAAGGGGGCAAACCCCTCACAGTCTTGTGCTAATATAAAATAAGTTGGATTCTTCTTTTTTTTTTATAAGCACAATGAAATCTTTTACTTATTCCCAAAACCTCCAGTTGCTATTTTTTTCACAGAAACATTAACAAAACAGATCAGAACAGCATGAAAGTAATTTAAAAAAGGCAGGGGTAGTAAAAGCACTGAGATGCCAAAGTATGAACATTTAGCTTGATAAAGGACCAGTGCGAGGACAACTTTCCTGTACATCATGAGTGCAGTCATATTATCTGTGAAGGTCAATCTGTTCTCATAAAAAAGTTGGTTTTAATGAGAAACTGCTGGAGTCCTTTCTTCTTCAGTGAGTCTTTCTGTATCCTACGCCTTGCATCATGTTGCCTTTCCTCCTCAGCTGGTGAATGTTGGCCTACGGGCTATTCTCACCACATTGTATGTGTTTAACCCAGGAGCATCAAAGCCAGGGGACAAGCCTTGCTTATTAAACAGATAGAAGTTGAACAGCTGGCCGTCTTGGGCTTCCAGTGAGACTGAAGCCTTGCCCACTTTCAAAACACAAGGGTACTCTTTATCAAACACAACTCTGAATACTCGCTCAACCAGGTAGTTAAGCTTTATTGTTCTGTACTTCTCTGGTATCAACTCTTCAATCTGAGGACCAAACTGCTGCATGATCAGAACGCCATCAGGTCCCACCTTGATCTCATAGAAAGTAATGTTGCTGTAGGTGAAAAAGCCGATATAATGAGCTGGATTTGGAGGAGCAACAAGAATCCTGTTGGCTTCTCTAAAGGCTTTCTCTATTGCTGGAATAATGTAGCTGTAGGCCTTTGTGACCACATCCTGTTTCTGAGGCCTGCTCCCCGCCATAAGGACCACTAGACCAAGCTTCAGTCTGGGAACCAGGGAGAATGTAGCCGAGTAGCCATCCAGATCACCATCTTTTCTCAAAATCTCGTAGCCCATTAGGTCATTTACCTCCCAAGGTGTCCCGGTACGGTTTGCAAAGTAGTCCTTATCACACCTAAAGAGCGGGTTCAGCATGATCTTCAGAGAATCTGGCTCCAGCAGTTTACGGTGGTAAGCACCCAGCAGGACCATGGCGAGTTTGGCCATATCTGCAGGAGTGGAAAACATCTGACCGGAGGGCCGATACCAGCCGAGATCATAGAGAGGAGCAGGCTTTCCATTGGAGTAAACTCCGACAGCAAACTGGCTCTGCAACCCAGGGGTGAGCTCAAAACTGGTGTCTTCCATTCCCAATCGATCCAAAATGTTTTCTGTGACCCAGCGCTGATAGTCAACCCCAACCACTTTTTCAGACATCACATGAGCAAGTAGAGAGAATGCCAGGTTACTGTAGTGACACCTAAGAAAAGAGAACATTTAAAGAAATGAGAGAGAAAAGAACAGAAGCAATGACACGCTGTCTGGTCATGAAAATTTAAATCCACAGAATGAGGCTTGTTGCATTAGGCATGACATGTCAGAGCGCATTCAGTGTGATTACAGACATGGTTCAAAGAAGGAGATTTATTGGAAAATGTAGCAGCCTCTAGTAAGGCTCTTTATGTCAATAAGCTTTTCACACTGTTAAAAAACTGAAGAACATATTGAATATTGTTAGCATGTGATGGAGGACAACAAGTTACAGCCTTAAATGTTGATGGTGTTTCATTCTGAGAGGTCAAAGGAGACTTACTTGGTTCCTGGATCTGCAACAAGGACATCATCTTGTAATAGATTGATTGCAGATTGTGTTTTGCCTTTCCAGAGTAGATTTGTGGCCCGAAGCCTCCGGGGTAGACCTGGAGCAAAACAAAAAAAGAGGAAAAAAAACAACCAAATGTCTGGATGAGATTAGCAACTAAAGATATTTTTCCAGGCATTATACACGTTTTCCATAAAAGAAAAAAAAAGATTTTTAGAAATCCCTCTAATATTATCATTATGGTGCAGAGCATGTTTTACTTTTTTTTTAAAAGTGGTCATATGTGGACCCACTGTATATACTGTATATACCCCCTGCACCTTTTTCTACCTTTGGCAAATTCTTCTTAGAATATTTGATCTGATGTAACAAGTACATTTCTCTACTGTGAGATCAATAAAGTCAAGCAATCAATCAAGCAATTACTTGTACTTCAGCCTTGTGAGAAAAACACATAGTTGTTCAACATGGTTATTATGTCCACCCCTGATTTTACAGGCACATAAATATACTGACATGTATGATACTTCTAAACTGTCTTTTTTTTATTTTATTTTCTCTTTTAGACTAATTATTTAGGTAAAGTTTATTAGACTGAAAAAAAGACTGAAAAAAAATCCTAACTCTGTGTTTCTGAAAACAGCAGCTGAATGGTTTGTGAAAAGTAGCAAAATGTACAAAATGTAGTTTGTTTTAATACAAAAGCAGTTTTCTCATTGTTTCTTTTGTCTTTTTTTTTATCTTTTATCTGCTGAATCCACAAACCTGAGAGCTGGCTTGCCATCCTGCGCAGGGTGACAGAGGAGGAGCGGATTTGTACCTCTCCGCTGTCTAAAAATATGAGGCCATCTGTCACATATTTCAACTCTGAGTCCCGTGTTTTTCCCAGAGGGTTTTTTATGGTGAAATTGTCCACATATTTTTCGAGGGGGTCATCTAAGGAAGCAATCTTTCCATCCTCCCACAATTTGTAGAGCATCAGCGTCGGGAAAATCTTTGATAAACTGGCAATTCTGAAAGACAGACAATATGTCATAGTTATTGGTTTTGATTTTTGGATGACACACCGATTCACAGTTTTTATTTACTCTCTTGCCTTTCTGATGTTTTTCTTTTTTCCAATATGGCCACATGAATGTGTGGAAGACATGAACTTTGCTAAAAATGTACTTGGCTAAAAATAGAATATATATGCATCTTATTACATTGTAATGTTTCCCTTCTTCATGATCAAAAACTGATGTGGTTTTATTTGCTTGTAATTTTTCACTGTTAGCTTTCTGGAAATCTTTACTGTTTATATTCTCTTTACTTTTTTCATACTCATTTTGATGAGATTTGACCAATATAGATTCAAGTCCCGGAAATGTTAAAATCTGTACAACAAATGAGGTAAAAGAGCTTAAATCTGATATGTAAAATGTTTTAAGCAGACCAGTTACCTGACCAGATAAATGTAAGTCTCCACCAGCCTATTGCAGTAGAGCTGTAAACAGAGGCGTAGCCAGAAAATTTTTAATAAAGGTGGCCAGGCAATAACCAATGTACTTTGAGGGATGGCCGAAAGCAGATAGGCGCCTTGAACCTCAGGGTTAAGCTACACTGTTCCAACAGGAAAATTAATGAGCACAACATCCATGTTTTCTAAATGAAGACAGACTATCCTTTCCTACAGCCTTTGCTTACAAAGAGACGCATATATAGTGGATGCAATTCTTTCAGGTTTAAGTTCTCGGGCAAACATCTTTTCCATTGTCATCACTTATTTTTATCAATAATCATTCAGCAAAAAAATTTATATTTGCAAGTAAAAATATCTACATACTATAAATTGATTATTTAATACGTTTTCATTAAAATTGTTATTTATCTATGATTTCACTGAAGACTGCTAGATGACCTGCAGAGACACATCATTTTCTCTTTACCCCATATAACACAAAATCTAGTTCTGAAAAGAGTATGAATTCTGTATTTATCTTTAATTTCGGTATATTTATTTGCATAATTAACAACAGTGTATTTGTTGTAAAGTAAATGTTAATATATGAAAAATTAAAATGGTTTGAATATTCAAATTGAGAGTCTGTTGCTACTGTTTGTATTAGAGGGAAAAAATGGTATGGGCGCCACATCGAGCTCTGCCCCTGGCTGTAAATAATCATTTCAGTTGCCAGGTGGTGCTGTTTCAGCTTACAGTCAGAAGGGATAATGTTAACAGTTAAAATGAAGTAAACTATATCATTATCCCTAGATAAGAAATCCTGTTGGGGAAAAAAAAGAATCAGCTTCATCCCATATTGAGGAAGCTTTGATTTTATGATACTATTTTTGTAGTCAACATCACCTAACCTGAGATTAAGCCCAAAACAAGTCAAAGACCTATAAACAAAACAAGTCTGTGGGCAACTTTGGCTCAATGGGAAGAAAATCATAATAAATCATTCTAGATTAATGTGGCTGCATAGAGTTCTGATCCTGTAAAAAGTTGTCTTGCTTTTTTTTTTTTTACTACAGGCAGAGTGAGTAATGGCAACAAATGGAGATGGAGAAATTAATGCAACTGATTTTCTTTCTTTTGTTTTTTTTTTTCTTGATGCTTTAGAGTCAGAGGAACGTCTTTATAACTGCACTGGAAAATGTTTCTGACACTTGTTTCTCAGTCCTACTATCTTACAGGGGGATGGTAATTCTGGAATTGCTGTATTGAATGAGTGAGCTCAAGACCCAACCAAGACGGTGAAAATATACTCTACAAACTAGTCTTGAGGGCAAGATTATTTTTTTATCTCAACTATAATGTTATAATGGTATGAGAATGGCTATTCCACAAAGCACAATCAATTTAAATGACCATACCCTAAAACACCTTATTTTCCAGTCTCAAACCTTTCCTGAAAAAATAAATAAAAACAACTCAGTTAAATATGAAAAGTATGAAGTAGTTTATGATCACTTTTTATATGTTTTGAGATAATTAAGAATAAATACAAAGCCCTGTTAACTCAGAACTATAAAGGGTTAATGCTGCATGCACTTGTCTGTCTGAAGTGGACCCTATATGGAGTATATCTGCCAGCTGTGATAAAAAGCACTTTTTGTAGAAAACTCTTTAAACTGATCATCTGTCCGTTCAGGAGGGGGTTCAAATGGGAGGTCCTGCAATTAGCCCTGTGGTAAATCAATAAATCTTTAAATCCCTACTTTTAAATGTCATGTGCTTTTTTAAGGGTTATCTGGATGCCACGGCACATACTAGGACATGGCTCTGCTTTAGTTT